TTGCATTCTGCCTGACGCTCCAGCTGTACGGCAAAAGGCCGAGCACGTAGAACATTGCACTCTACCAGCCCGTCCCTCCTCTCCTGCCTGAAGCCTGCAGAACCTTGGCGGAAAGAAGGTGGGCCTTTTCAACATCGAGTGAGGCGCGCGCGCGCGCGGATCGCACATTTGAACAACAGACATTGGGATGTCGCATAGACAGATACCTTCGGCTTGCTGCTTGTCCCGCGATTTCGGTCCTTTTGCTTGTCGGCCCTTCGTCTCCCCGTCGTGAGAAAATAGTGCGGCCAGTGAGTTTCCACGGACAACAAAACACAAACAGTCTTGCGGGTGGGGGTTAGCGCCGGTCCAAGAAATCCTCGTGGATCTCCGAGCGCTTATGTTAATGTTGTTTCTTGAGTCTTCTAAATTTGTCGTCATGCTAGGCCCCTTGGAGGGCAGTTGCCGGCCGCGGGACAGTCAAATAACGACTCGGGATGAAAGCATGGCCTTGGGAAAAGGGGTCGAAAGGTCCAGGGTCACACGCACAGAATAACAAAAGCGGTGGATGTCAAGGTCTGGGGATCACCTATATGTTCCAGTTGTTCCAGTTGGTCTTTTCATTCACGGGCCTCAGCAGGTTCACTGGTCTGTTTCAAGTGTCTTCCGTTCGATCTCCCAGGCATTCGCCTTCTGACGCACGTTGCTTTAAGCCTTCGCGCGCGCTCCAACTTGGATATGGTCGCATCCCCGTTCAGTTCAGTCCCAGTCTGACTGTCTTCAGGCGAGTCGTTTGCCGTAGTGCATCCTTCAGTATCTCATGCTGTTGCGCCACGCCAACTGGTGTGGTATGTGCGATTATTGCCTATTTGTGTTCGCGTTGGCAGCACTAGGCGTTAATTTAGAAGGTGCTAATTGGGCGGAACATGTTTTTGACTCACTCACACCTATACATCTTCCCTCCTCATGATTATCGCCCCATCCTTTCCACTCCGTTATTTGCGCCCCCCGGAGGCCCCTAAAACCTAAAGGTCGCAGAAGACTCAGGAGGTTCGCCGAGGTGTATGGACGCCTCCACGGCTGAACGCAGCTCGAACAATTTGTCAGGACAGGAATTGATTTTGATCAGGCTTTGAGAAGGAGCAGGAGGAGGTGGCGATCATTACGACGATGGAAGAAACAGTCGCTCCCCGATCGTGCATCGGCAAATGTGCAGCACCATGCAATGACATCCTAGTAGCCACAGGGAGTGCTGAAGAATACCCGTGCAACGGGCGTCAGGACGAGGACGGCGCCGATGGCTTCTCTCATGCAGCCCCTCAACCCACCAAGCCGTGTGGAGGCAAGGCTAAGCTCATGAGGCTGCGTCCTGTTGCACCCCTCCGCCGCTGCGATACAGCGCGCAGATACAGGCGAGCATACTTCGAGAAGACACGTGTAGGGCTGTGCGAGGGGAAATCGACCACCCAATATCTCCCCTCTCGGGCCACCGTTCCCGTTTTGTCTTTATTCTGGCAGTGACACGCCCGCTGGCATCGTGCTTGGAACCCGTAGGATACCACATGAGGGTGTTTCACAGTGTGGACGAATGGGGCCACAGTTCTCTGTGAGTCCACTACTTGCCTTCGGATCCAGCCTTGCCTGGACCAGCTCAGATGTTTTCAGAACAGCACTTCCTTGGTTTAGCACAGCCCAGAACAGCACATTACAGCGCATTAGCATAGTTTTGGGCTTCGCGATGCGTGGGTGAATTTGATTCGGCGGCTTTGCTCGGCTTGCATCGGATTAGCCTGTCCTTACTTCGCCTCTCCTTGGCTCAGCTATGGGTGGACTCAAGAAGGCTCCTAAACCATGTGAGATTCAAACCCTCTCAACCGTAGGCATCGCTTCCGGAGCAAACCGACCTGAGGCTCCAGAAACGAAGTCCGTTGATTTGGAGAGCAGGTTGTGGGGGGGCAGGAGGCGGCGGACGAGGAGGATGAGCAGCAGCAGCAGCAGGTGTACGAGAGGGAGGGGCAGACGATCTTCCCTTCTGACCTCCGGCGCGCAGGCGTACGCGTCCGTCGGGGGTCGCGCCATCAACCTCGCGTGCCTGCAGGAGAGGGGCGCAGGAAAGAAACCACCATCACCGAGCCTCCCCGGGCTCCTCTTGGCGGCGCGCCTGGCGGGGAAGGTACAAGGGGCGGGCCTTCTCAGAAGGCTCGGAAGGCCCCCGGCCTTTTGAGAAGATCTGCCAGACTTTCCCAGAAGACACCAAGACGTGTTCTGAGAAGCCCCGCCGCCTGCGGAGAAGACCTGCCCCACTCACTCGCCCCCGTGCGCGTCGCCGACTCTTGCCGCCCAGAACTCAGCGGATGCGGCCTCCTGGCCTGACCCTGCGCCGACGTCCGAGACTCCGATCCGAGTCGATTCTGTTTCGATGGTTTCCGATGTCGATTCGCATTATTGGAGAGGCCTGACGGCCGGTGCCGCCGACCCTGATCGAAGTCGGGGCTCAAGATACGGGGGTCAATGCAAACGGGGGTTAGCCAGGGCACAGAATCCTGCAGGATCCTGCGAAGACCCCCTCTGGTTGACCCGGGTTAGCGAGCCGCTCGTGGCCCCGAGGCTGCCGAACAGATTGGCTGACCCTGGTTTGCGAAGACCTGCGTTGCATTTTTTTTGTTCCTACATTGCAGTTGTTGGTTTCTTGCTGACCCGGGTCTGGATTGACCCGGGTCAGAAGATCCCCGACGAAGGGGCTAGGAGGGGGAGGAGGAAGCGAAGGAGGAGGAGGAGGAAGAGGAGGAGGACGAGGAGGAGGAAGAGAACAGGGACGAGCACGAGGACGAGGAGGAGGAGGGGGAGGAGGGTGCAGGAGCAGGAGGAGGAGGAGGAGGACGAGGAGGTGCAGGAGCAGGAGGAGGAGGACGAGCTGGGAGGAGGTGCGAGATGGAGGGAGGAGGAGGAGGAGGAGGAGGAGGAGGAGGAGGAGGAGGAGGAGGAGTTGGAGGAGTTGGAGGAGTTGGAGGAGCAGGAGGAGCAGGAGGAGGAGGAGCAGGAGCAGGAGGAGCAGGAGGATCAGGAGGTGGAGCAGGACAAGGAGGAGGAGGAGGAGGAGGAGGGGGACGAGGAGGAGGAAGGTGCTTGATGAGGAGGAGGAGGAGCAGGAGAAGGAGGAGGAGGTGAGGAGCAGGAGGGAGAAGAGGAGGAGGAGGACGAGGAGGAGGAGGAGGAGGACGGAGGAGAAGGGGTAGGAGAAGGAGGAGGATGAGCAGGAAGAAGAGGGGAAGGAAGGAAGAGGTGGAGGAATTGAAGGAGGAGGAGGTGGAGGAGGAAGAGGAGGAGGAGGAGAAGAGAAGGAGGAGGAGGAGGATGAGCAGGAGGAACAAGGTGAGGAGGAGAAAGGAGGACGGGAGGAGGAGGAGGAGGAGGAGGAGGAGGAGGAGGAGAAGGTGAGAAAGAGCAGGAGTAGAAGAAGAGGAGAAAGGGGATGATGATGAGTAGGATGAAGAGAAGGAGGAGGGGGGGGAGGAGCAGGAGGAGCAGGATGAGGAGAAGGAGGAGGAGGAGGAGGAGGAGGAGGAGGAGGAGGAGGGGGAGGAGGATGAGGACGAGAACCTCCTCGCGACGCCCTCCGAGCTTTCTCGAAGGCTGCGGGGGGAGTCGGATCTGGGGGGGGGGAGCCCCGGGACCCCCCCGGGACCCCCGGGGTTCGCCCCCCCCCCCCACCCCCCCCACTGGGGAAGGGAAAAGGGAAGTGGCTTCCCTTCGAAGCATTGATTGCTGACGGAGAGCGGGGGACACGGTGAGTGGAAGTTGGATGCGGCCAGAGAAAGTCGAGCAGGAAAGAACGCACGACGCGAACGGAGAAGCCCCTCACACACGACGACAGGGTCGGCGGGCGGATTTTCTTAACCGCCATCTTACAGTATGTGTCCACCCAGAGTGGGCCCCAAGCGGAGCGACTTGATACACGAGTTCGACGGCGCGGACATTGTCCCGCCAGTTTTTCGTGTAAGGTCCCACGTAAGCGCTCTTTGTTTCACGAGGTGTCCCGCGCGAGCGACTTGCGTAAGTCGCCGCGTCATGTCGCCATGCCTGCATACGTGGGACCACCTTAATTTTGTCGCTGAACTGGGCACGTCTAGGTTGCATGCCTTCAACGTCACCATTATCTATGACGTGGCTCGCCGATGGTCTTGACCCCCTCGCCCGGGCTTATTTCATGACTTACATGAGTGTGTCGGGTTTTCGCCACGTTGCCGCCCATGCCGCCTCACGGCCTCGTGCTTTCGGGGGGTATGTCGGGTTTGGGCCACGTTGCCGCCCGTGCCTCCTCGCGGGCGCCTCGTGGGCTCCCTGGGCTGGGTGGGTAAGTCGGGTGTTTGCCACGTTGTTGCCCGTGCCGCCTCGTGGGCGCTTCGTGGGCGCCTCGCGCGTTGGTGGCATTTCGGGTTTTCGCCACGGTTGCCGCCCGTGCCGCCTCGTGGGCTCGTGGGCGCCCCGTGCTCTGAGCTTACACGACATAGCTCCCACCACGTAGCTTAAACCGCATGGACTACACACCAGGGCGTACATCACACAGCTTGTACGGTATAGCTGCCACCTCCACATACACATCAATCAGTTTGCATCGCAGAGCGTTTACATTCATTGTGCAATAACGTGCGGCGGGGTCCACGCTGGCTAACATTGCAGACTGTGTTGTTCCCCGCACCCTAAGTGGGGTTATTGCTTTCTCCGGAGTTCCCGCACATGAACCCACCTACCCACACACTTGCACACTGCATCATCGTCATCAGCAGTATCAGCATCAGCATCAGCACCATCAACAACATCACCATCACCACCACCATCGTATGGCGTTGATATTAAACAGATGCAAGCACCTTCATGCCCACCATCATCATCAATGTCATCTTCTCCATTGCCGACATCTTCAACTTGCGATCACGATCACCATGCTCCAGCGATCATCTGCCATCACCATCGTCATCGCCTTCACATGCACTCACACGCACCAACACATATATCTTTAGGAGCCGTAGCCATTTTGGCTCAAGCTTCCGCAGTTGGTTGCAACTTGGAAGTCGCTGGCGACCCCGCCCTCTGCAAGCATCGGGATGGGTTGCTGCATGGCGTCCTGCCGGTCGCAGGCTGGGGCATTGTCAGCTCGCCAGGCACTGGGAGAGTTGCGGCGGCCTGGAGCTCGACCCCGTGCTCGGCAGTGGAGCGGTCGTCCTGATGGAAGCAGAGTGGATGGTGAGGCGAGCGCGCACTGGCGGCGTCCTCGAGCCGCGCCAGGCGTTGCTGCCGACGGCCTCCATGCCCCACAGCGCCGTCAAGGCCGCCACGCCTCGAATTAAATTGTTTCCGTTGCTGCACATCGCGTGCATATCACACTGCTGGCTGCAGGCGAACCACCCGGATCCACGCGGGCACAACCTGCGCTTTTTGGGCCAGGCCCTGCAGCTGCTGTCGACCGATGGGTTCTCCGCGTTCAGGGGCCGCTGGAGTGTATTTATGGACTTCGGCTGCATCCATCAAAACTGTAGGGACCGCGAGGGCGTTCCCCACTAGCACACCTACCAGCGGCTCGAAGGCTCAGATTCTTTCGAGGACGATGCCCCCCTCGGCCCCTTCGAGCTGGAGCATGCGCTCTTCAAGGAGGCATTGGGGAGCCTGGGGAGCTTCTACTCCCACCCCGCCAGTGTCGTCTTCATGCTGACGCGGTTTCCAGATGAGTACGACGATGCTGCAAATCACACCAGGTCGGGCAACACGGAGCAGTACTTCAATCGTGGCTGGTGTTTCTGCGAGTCCTCCGGGGCGATGCTGACGAAGAGTTGTTTATCCCTCGTGGACCTCGGCCGATCCACCAGAGCGGAGACCTGCTACTTTTGTGACTGGGGCTGTGCGCGCTCGCTGGTGACGACCTGCGCGGCGGGGCGCCGGGCGCCCGTCCTGCCCAACGCCTTCAACATGCAGCTGCAGAGCAAGGGGTTCACCAACGGCAAGGACGACTGGCCCCGGGTCGCCGAGCTCTACCGCCTTGCCTTCGCGCAGCGCTTCGAGGCCACGGAGAAGCTGAACTACGAGGGCCTGCAGTGGGGGGACGAGGAGGCGCAGCAGCTGGCCGCCGTTCTCGCCTCGGGCGCCGCGCCCCGGCTGCGGGAGCTCTGCCTCGAAGGCAACCGCGTGGGCGACGAGGGCGCCGCGCGGCTGGCGGAGGCCCTGCGCTCCCCGGGCGCGCTGCCCCAGCTGCAGGTGCTCTACCTCAGCGCAAACCGCGTGGGCGACGAGGAGGCCCTTCGCGCCCCGGACGCGCTGCACCAGCTGCGAAAGGTCTCCCTCGGCAACAACCGCGTGGGCGACGAGGGCGCCGCGCGGCTGGCGGAGGCCCTGCGCGCCCCGGGCGCGCTGCCCCAGTTGCAGGCCTGGGGCAACCCGCTCGACGGGCCAGGCTGGGCGGCGCTGCGCGCCGCGTGGGCGGAGGCCGGGCGGCCGGGCGGCCTGTGGCTCGACTGAGGAGGGCGGGGCGCGGCGCGGCGCGCGGCCGTCCGAGGCGCGCGGCGCGAGAGGCCTCCTCGCCTCCCCCGCCCTCCCGGGCCTTGCCCCGCTGGCGCCTCTTGCGCTCTTGCCTCCACTTCTGTCCTGTGGTTCAGGCCGTGAATCCCGAGCGGCCCGTCCTGGGGTGGAGCCCACGCCCTGCCCTGCGCACGTGCGTCGGCTGGTCAGCACTGGTCGGCGGGACGCGAGAGGGGCCAGGGGCACGTAGTGGTGAGTTTCACCATACGCTCCAGAGTGCCATGGCCACCACAGCACGTGCAGCAACAGCTTGGGCCACACCGGCTCGTGTCACGAGGAGAGGGGCAGGACAGGGAGGCGAGGCTGGGGGAGAGTAGGTGGACGGGCTGGCTCGTGGCAGAGGCGTCGTCAAAGGGAACCATGTCTTCGCCGCGTGGATTGCGATCCGCACTGGCAGTTCATGCGACTCTCTGGCCCGCCAGCTAAAGACAGGCTTTCTCCCCTCCATCTCCTTGCTCCTTCCTTCGCCGTGACAGCTGAAGGCAGGCTGGGCGCTGCAAGCTAATTACTGTGCCCTGGGCAAATCGGTACAACGTATCGGCTCCAGATCACCTGTGTTCTCTTTCACGTTGTCGAGCTTTGGGCCTTTAATATGTATAGCTTCGAACGCGAGCGTGTGTCCACACTTTGAGCGCATTGTCGCCCCGTCTGATTTCTTTTCATCCTGCCCTCCTTCGCTTCCTCCTCCGCCTAGGCACGGCGCGGATGCCGCGTCGGCGTGACCGTGATTCATCACTTCGTGCGCTCATTTATCCACGCCTCGAGATCATAGCGAAACAAACAAAACACATCTATCTCCAGGAAGACTCGAGCGGCAGACTCGTCCCTGAATCCTATCGACGCTATGTTACTCACCCGAGCGGGCAATCCAAATCCTCAATTGTCCAATCCAAATCCTTCTTGAGTGAAGGTTGAGGAAGTCTCGAGCGAGGCGCCCTCTCAATGGGGCCGACAAGTCTATTCTTTATAGATCTCGGCGGGTCGTCCAAATCTTGCAGCAGTCGTCATGTTTGAGCTCCTGAGGCCTGAATCTGGAGGACGTTTCGAGCGGGAGCTTCGTCTCTGATTGAATGGCGAGGAAATCTCGACCCCCTCAGTATGGGCGCCTAAGATCTTATTATTAACCCGTGCGGGGCGCCCACCTCTTGTACTCGTAATTCTTTGGGGCTCCTGGGGGCATGCGTGTGGAGGAGGTCTCGAGCGGGAGCCTCCTCCAAGGGCTGAGGAAGTCTCGAGGGGGGGGGCCTCTCCCAGGGGTTGCCAGATCATGTTACTAACCCGAGCGGGCCATACACATACCTCAACCGCCGTCATCGTTCCCCACATCTTCAGCGGGGTTTTGGTTCCTGACATCCTAGGTGGGGTGTTTGTGTCCTCTGGGCTCCCCGCGCAGGAATCTCCTCATCTCCCCCTCCCCGCCTCTCTCCACACCACCACACCATCGTCATCGATATCAGCATCCCATCTTGGCCACCGATCATCAGAATCGCCGGCCATAGTCATTATCCAGCTGTCTGCGGCAAGTCCCGCCGCGGTGCAAGCCCGTAATTCGGGATGGCGATTGAACGAGGGGGCACGTGAAGCCGTCGCGTGTGACAATCGTGATGAGGATGATGTTGCTGCTGATGATGATGCTGATGCTGAGAATGATGATGATGCTGATGCTGATGATGATGATGCTGATGCTGATGCTGATGCTGATGATGATGATGATGCTGATGATGATGATGATGATGATGATGATGATGATGATGATGATGATGATGATACGGATGCTGAGGATGGTGATGGTGATGGTGATAATGCTGACGATGATGATGATGATGATGATGATGATGATGATGATGATGATGATGATGATGATGATGATGCTGATGCTGATGATGATGATCATGATCATGATCATGATGATGATGATGATGCTGCTGCTGATGATGATGATGACGATGACGCTGACGATGACGCTGACGATGACGATGACGATGACAACGATGATGCTAATGATAAGGACGAGGAGGAGGAAGAGGAGGATGAGGAGGATGAGCATGTTGACAGTGATGGCTGCTTTTTTGACCTGAGACCCTTATTGTTGTTTCCCGTGGAGGCGGCGGCGCCCGTCCGCACCGTTTATGTGTGTTCATGTTCCTTTCTTTCTTTTCCTGCCGCTTGTCCCTGGTGAAACCTTTTTCTCTTTTTGTTTCGTGCGGCCTTGTGTGTTGTGTTTCTTGCCCAGGGGGGTCCCCTGCCTCTGCAGGGGGGGGGGGGCTTTTTTCTGTTCCTCCTTACTCGTGTTGCTCCTCCTTCCCCTCATCCTCCTCATCCTCCTCATCCGCCTCCTATTCTCCTCTCCCATATCATTCGGATACGCATGCTCGGATCAATCACACCCCTCACATGGTCCATCACAGACCCACTTCTCTTCACGGGCTTCATCGCAGACTGACTCTTCTTCCCGCAGGCTCAGCCACATCACCTCCTCATTCAGATTCACTCAGGCTCATACCAATTCAGACTCCCCCAGACCCACTGAGGGAATTAGCCCCAGACGCAGACTCACTCGTACACCTTAAGCTTTTCCACTTCGAAACGCTCTTCCCCACTCAGACTCACTCAGACATCTCGGTCGGCCCACTGCTCACCGCGATGTAGCTGGCGTGACACTTGGGCGCCCCAAGTGGGAACCGCGGATGTCTCAGGCGGTTTACTTGTTTCTCCCGCCCCCAGGCGTTCCGTGTTGAATGGTCCATTGCTCGCCGCGATATCACATGCATTATAGTTGGGCACCTCTAAGAGGAGCCGCCAGAGAGTATGATATTGACCCGTTCGCGCCCAGAGCGTGGGGGGGGGCTCACGCGGTTTGCTTGTTTCTGCCCCCACAGTTTTTCGATGGTGGTGGCCCATTGTTCACCGCGATAGCAGGCGTGGCACATGTGCACCCCATGGAGGGGCCGCCAGGAGGTATGCCACTCGCCCGTTCGCGCCCAGATTGTGGGCATGCCTCGGGTGGTTTGCCCGCTTCTGCCCCCGGAGTTTCGTTATTTGGGTGGTCGCTGCTCACCGCGATATCGCAGGCGTTGCACTTGGGCACGCCATGGGGGAGCCGCCATGAGGGATGACACTCGCCTTGCGAGCCATGGTGGGGATGTCTCGGACGGTTTGCCCGTTTCTGCCTCCCAGACGTTTCTCTTGTGGCCGTCCTTTGCCCACAGCAATACAGAAGGCATGGCATTTTGGCACTCCGAGGGGAAGCAGCTAGGGGGGATGACGTTCGTCCGTTGGTGCACATATTGTGGGGGTGTCTCAGGCGGTTCGCTTCAGGTGGTTTGTTTGTTGTTGCCCCCCCATGCGTTTCTCGTTGAATGTGTGTGCTCCTCACTAACCAACCTCCTCTCCCTCCGTCTTCTCCATTGCTTCAGTCAGACGCATTGATTCTCACTCAGATTAATTCAGAAGTTGTCCTTCCTCTGTTCGACTGACTCACCACATTCAGCTTAGCCCATACTCGAAGTCACCCACATTCAGAATCTTCCATACTTCGGCTCAACCATATTCATACCCACACAAACTCAGACTCTTTAGCACCTACATGAACTCACACCCAGATGTTTTATTCTCCACTTTCAGACCCACTCTCACAGACTCGCTCCCAGTCCTATTCACTCATAGGCAGTTTTGCTTGCACTCTTACTTCGCTCACACTCAGATCACTCACGCTCATACTCGCTCTACTTAAGTTTGCGCGCAGGTGGCCACCGCGATATATCCGGGGTGGTATTTGGGCATCCCAAATGCCAGTAGGCGCCGCGAGTAGCACGCCAGAGGGCGTGGCGACGCTATGCGCGCTTGCCTGAGTTGTTGCAGTGAGACCACCTCGCTCTTCCATTATTGTGTTCCGTCGTCTCACTTGAAAGCTGCCCACTGGAGGAGGACGTCACTGAAGTCGTCGTTGTCGTCTTTGCCGCGCCTGTCGTTTACGCGGACTCGCTCTCACACCCGCAGAATTAATGACAAATTCCTCAGCCTGCGGCAGTTTTGTTGCTCCTTCGGGGGGTAGGCGCGCTTCCTGGGAACCCCCGCGGGCTGGGCATCCCGAGGAGCTCTGGGCGGGGGGGAACGCCACGTGAGGGGTCTGCCCAGGACGGGTCTGCCTGAGGATTACCCCGGGGGGGTGTTCCAGGGACGAGGACTCCCGCGGGGGTCCCTCGGTCGGTGGCCCATGTGGGGGGGCACGCGGGAGGCCAGAGCGCCCCGCGTTGCTTCGGGAAGGGAGCCCCTTTATGGATCCCCCAAGGAGGATGGGCCCTCCCAAGGATGGGTCCCACTTCCGGGACGAGTTCCGGGAGGGCCCCCCCAAGGCTGGGAGGCTTGGGAGGCGCCGGAACGGTTTGCTTCGGAAGCAAGCCGCTCCGGCGCGGGTCACGAAACGCGCCAGAAGTAGTGGTTCCGGCGCATTTCGTGACACGCGCGGTACGAACATCAAAAGCACATCGCGAAGCATCAGTTTTTCGATGCACATTTTGAGGTTATATCCACAATTGCGGAAGCGGAAGCAAATAATAATCTCAAGCATCAAGTGCTGACAGGAATCCGCGCAACATCTGCGAACCTTTGATGTGGACGACGCGAATGGAGCCATCCTCGGGGACAGCGGCGGCATCGCGGAGGAGGGCGTGCGCAGGCTTGAAGGCTTCGGACTGCCCGCGCAGGAGGTGGGGTGACCCCGTGGCAAAGGGCGCCAGAAGGCCAGGCCAAACAGGCCAGGCCTGCTTCAGTTCGACATTTGTGACCAGACTTTCGAGCTGGACAACGGCGCCATGGCAGCACCGTTCGGAGCATCCACCGTGGACCTGTTCGAGGCAAGTGGAAGAAGGCATCCAAGACCATGGTCACTATGACGTGTAGGGCGATGCAGGCGCTGAGGAGGACGGGGCGCATTTTGCACTCGGTGTGCCCATGAATAAGTTCTCGCTTCAGCATTTGCAGCGGGCGAGACTCGTGATCAAGCAAGTGTACGGGCACGGCCGCATGTCGGAGGTGATTCGGCTCGATTTATTCCGACCTCGACCCCATGAGGGAGGCCGCTAACATGCCGCTGGACAGGTATTCCAAGGAGTGGTGGAGGACCACGGACTGGGGGCACAAGAAAGACAGATTGCTACCCGCGACCATGCAGAGGCGCGTGCGCGGGCAGGCCCTCGGCGGCTCATGGTAAGTCAGAACCTGGCCCGACTAGAGCGGCGTGCACGGCAGCCACCGAGGCAGGGTGGAAGGTGGAGAGCCGCCGCTAGGTTTGCCCCCCCCCCACCCCCCTTGTTTCCGCAGGCCTTCCGTTTTCGAGCGCAGCCCCAAGCGGATGGAGCGGATCTTCTTCGAGGGCGCGATGGACATGGCGCGCGCCAGGTCGACGGGCTCGCTGAGGCGCGACACTTTATGCGCGCAGGCGTGATAACCTCTCCGAGCAGGACGTGCCCGCGATCTGGTGGGATGTGGTCGCTGGCGCCTCCGCGTCCAATCACCTCGAGTCCCTGGGGCAGTGGGCGATGGCATCGGTCGTGGGCGTCGCCTAGCTCGCGGGCCTCATGATGGTCGAGTGGGGCTACGGCGAAAATGCGGGCGACAAGAGCCACTGCCGCGTGACAGGCACGCGCACCGCCACGGAGTGCGCGCGGCCATTGCTGAAGGCCACGGGAAGAGTGACGCCGCCAGTTTCGCGCGTCTGAATCACCGCAAATCGCAAGAGATCGAATATTACTACATCGGCATTCTTGTGCCCGAATCACCAGCGA